TGCAGGGCAGCTGTTTTAAGACTGCTCCCTTTCTTCTTCATCCGCTCTTTGATAAACTCCACTTCCCCACTAGGTTCCTCAAAGTCAAAGCTAATGACAGCAGACCCCAGCTCCCATCAATGGAAAAGACTGCCCCAAGGCTTCTGAGATGACCCTGGAGTTAACCCTTCTATTGACAAACACCAAACACACCCACCCCACAGTCCCTTAGCTGCGTCTTCAACTTAAGGTTCTGATCTGCCTCTGTAAATAAAAGTTGCCCCCGGTGACATGTGGATCCACCAGCTGGATCCTCTCTAAACACAGGGCACTTGGCTCTTCCTGTGGGGGCGGGGAAGAGGTGGGCCAGGAGGGTGGATCCCCTCACAGTTTGAGGTTTGAGTCAGCTGGCCTCCCAGATGCCACCCTTGTTCTGGGTACCACACAATCCCAGTGCTAGTGGAGAAGGCGTGGTGCTGGGACAGGGAGGCAAAGCCTCCTACACGGCTCCAGTCCCAAGGAGAGAGCCCGAGATGATGGTCCGGGGCATGCATGCCATGACTACATGGGGCAACTTCAGTCCCGATTCTCTTTGGAAGCACTGGTCACAATTATCTGTGAAAGCATTCATATAATGTCTGTGTCCACACTACTGAGCCTGCTGGGGACAGGAACCATGCCTGCCGGCTCACCACAAAATCCCAAGTTCTTTTCAATATGCCTGGCTCATGCATGCTGGAGTGAGCTGACTCCATGGAGGAAATAACAGTCATGGATAATAATAAAAAAAAAATTCCAAAATACTTTGCAGTAAATAAAACACTTTTAAGTTTATCATATTATCATATCAAAAAAACGGTGGGAGGTGTTGGCATGCTGGAGCTGGCTTGTACCAGTTGTCTAGAGCTGGTTGTTCAACAGTCAAGATTTCTTTCTTTTTTTTTTTTTTTTGCCAGCCAGTTGTTAAACCATTGGCAATGTGAAACTGGACCTGGAGGGGATATTTACACCTGAAGATCCACAAAGACAACAAATGAGGGCTTTTCTTTGACACAGAGCAGGTCTATCAGCAAACCACTGGCAGTAGGTATGTTCAAAAGGTTCTGTGAACGGGTAGATGGGGATCGCTTTACATGGGATGCGGCTGAGTTTCAGGGAGATCCAGGGAGACCCCCAGGCCTCTGAGCCTTGCTGCAGTGAGATGCTGACTCCAATGCCTTTACTCATTTCAGCAGGCGTTTTTCGAATGCCTACATGCGCCAGGAACTTCCTGCCGTGGCAACACCTGATTGGCAAATGAGTGGTTAACATGGAGGAGCTCCTTATCAGAGCTCCTCCCAAAGGGAAGTGCTGGTTCCTTCCCCAGGAAGCCCAGCCTGTTCAGACCCCAGACCATGATTGGATCAGCACCTGATGCTCCATCATCATGTCGTCATATCGGGTCTGGAGCAGGTCCTGCTGCTACAGACCGGGGTCCTCTGCCTGAGGCAGCCTCATCTCACTCACCTTTGAAGGGAGCAGCAGCCAAAGCTGGACCTCTAATGCCCCAGACCCTGGCAGGGCTGGTTCCTGCTCCTTGCACACCCTTGAAAGCTATGGGATCGCACTGTGGATGGCGAATAGTCAGAGGCTCCGGTGGGAACCACATGGACACGCCCCTAACTGCATGCTTCCTATTTGGAGTTGAACAGTGACTCCCCCCTAAATTCAAATGTTAAAGTCCTGACCCCCAGTACCTCAGAATGTGACCTTATTTGGTAACAGGGCCCTTGCAGATGTATTTAGATAGGATGAGGACATACTGGAGTCGGATGGGCCCAATTTCAATGACCAGTGTTCTTGTACGGAGAAATTTGAACACAGAGATGCACACAGGGAGAATGCCATGTGACGGTGAAGGCAGAGATTGGAGTGGTCCTTCTACAAGCCAAGGAACCCCAAAGATTGCCAGCAAACGACCAGAAGCCGGGGAGAAAGGCCTGGAGCTGATCCTGCCCTCACAGCCCTAAGGAGGAACCAACCCTGCCGCCTCTTGATGGCGGACTTCTAGTCTCCAGAACTGTGAGACAGTAAGTTTTGTTGTTTAAGCCACTCAATCTGTGTGCCTTTGGTACAACAGCCACAGAAAACCAATGCAGGTCCTTTTCTTGGCAACCCTCCAAACCGGGCAGCACTCCATTGGAGTGACACACAGTGACGGGACACGCAGACAAGGTGTGGCATCTCACAGAAGATGCGCGGAGCCTGGGGTCAGGTCAGCATGACCCTGCGTGTGTGTTCGGAGCTGTTCCGTTCGGAGTGGCAGCCCTCCAGTTCTGCGAGACTCACACGGCTAACCACACACACTGCCTGGTGTCACCACGGGCAGGGACAGGACACAGGCAGCTGCTTTCTCACCAGAGCCCTGGCCTTGAGCCTGCACAGAAGCTCACGCGCCAGGGGCTGGATGCTGCTGGCAGACACTTGAGGAAGGTGCCGTAATGCCAGAGGTGGAGGAGCCTGGAGGAAACAGATGGCCCGTGGAATCTGCCACTGGGACTTCCCATACTCCCGGCGCCTGAGGGATTCCCGGTATCGTATTTTCCTCTATTAAAAAGAATAGTGTTTTCAGCAAACCCACAAAGAGGGAAATTTGATGCAGGAAAGAGACAGGTTAGATATTGATTCCTAGCCTTCGATCCTGATACAGAGGCCCCATGGGAAGTGCATGGATTGAGATGGGGTTTGCCTTTAATCAACCAGGATGCTCCATTAGCAATGCCAGGCCCAGAGAGACACTAACCAAACGCAGGTTCCCTTCCCTTGTCTTTGCTCTGCAGTCAACAAGTGCCCTCTTATCTGATAGGTGCTGTGCGGTATCCCTCCCTGAGCCGTGGTGGAGTGCATTCTACATCATCCAGCTCCCTGCCCCATTCCCATGTGCTGCTGGAACCACACTCTCGGGGCCACAGTGATGGCCCTCAGTGAACTGGAAACCCCGGTGTGGCTGCTCAGAGCCACTCTGACTCCCGACTCCTCCAAACTCTGCCGGGGCATGGCCAGCTGGGCACATATCATTCATTCATGTGTTGCTATCCCTCCAGACCTTACAGGTGCACACATTCCAATAAGGATGACTGTGACCTATAGGTCAAACAGGAGGAGAAACCCTAAGGGTGCTGAGGAGAGGTGAGAGCTTTCTGCTGCAGTTCTATAAGGACCACTCAGTTCTCCCGCAGACCAGCAAGGTGGCTCGGCAGCAGCATGCCAGGGTGGGCCTCTGTGTGCGCACAGTGGGTCCTCAACGTCCCAGGAAGCATAGTGGTACGCACTCTCAGAGTCCCCATATATACCTACTGCTTGTCCAGTCACATGTTCCCAATTCTTAAGATATGATCCAACAAACTACTTGTTAGGTGGCCTATGTCTCAGAGGGTAGCCTTAGATGCCCACATACCCCATGGTGGGCAGAACGACCACATCAACACTCCCTTGTCTAGAAATCAAAGGCTAGAGGGGAAGCATGGAGCAGCGTCACAGGGACGGTTTCTACGTAAGTTGCTTCCCTCTCCTGGCTGCCTGTGTAAGCCGGACGCCACCAGGTGCCCTGCTTGCCGCCTAGAACTCTAGAGCTACCCAATGGATGGTGTCCCTCTTCCAGGTGATCTGTTTTCTTCAGGGGAAAAGTCTGCAAGGCTGTGATTTGTGTCACTTTTGCTTGCAGGCCATCAGTTCTCCTGGCCTCCTCACAAAGGGTATTTTATTTCTTTCTGTCTAGTAGCCTGAGTTCCCCAGAGGGAATAAGTTAGGGACATGCTGACCCCTCATGACTTCTGTGAAATCAGGAGGAGTTCTTGTTACAACGAGCCCTTAGTGCCCTGCCTTCTCCTTCCTCTCGCATCTTCTCTGTTCTGCCTACAAATTGATCTTATTTTCTTCAAGGTTGTAAAAGCTGTGTTTGGCTGGTCTTGGCACATGTTTGCCAAATAACCATAGATATTCTTTTCTTCTCTCTCCTCCTCCCTGCTGCCCTCCCTCCCCCTCTCTCTTTCTTTTAGTTTCTCTCTGTCTCAATCTGTCTCCCCTCCCCCATATATCTGTACATTTTCTCTATATGTGTGCATGTGTCTATATATTCATATGTATATATATAATATATAACATATATATTATATATATATATATATATGTAGATGGGTCATTGTTTTTATCTATACTTTATATATATGACTATATTTATACTTATATTTATAATGGTCATTTCCAAGGAAGCAACCTATAAAACTGTATATGCTGTCAATAAAAGCAAGGAACAAAATAGAACTGCCCGATTTTGGTGTGTTTATATGGGAAGGATAGCTGTTAAAAATAGCAATTCTATAACAAAAAGATAAACCTGATATCTAACCATTCAACCCTGTAATAGGTTAAATGATAACAAACTATTCATTGATTTTTTAAAAAGAGTAATAAACAGAAACATGTACCAATTGAAAGAGCCAGACAATTCAATTATAATTAGGAAAACAAAAAGTGATGAGCCTGAACAATGTTGCCTTAGTTTTTGGAGGAAGTGTTGAAAATGCCAACTACAAAACAAAGCCATATTTCTTTTCTCATTATTAAAGGCATCAACAGTAATCACCTCATTTTTGAAAGCCATGTGCCAATTGAATAAAGTATAAAACCCATAAGATAGGTTTAATAGACATGCTTAAAAATTTCAACATAAACAAAGATCTAAATTCAAGAATATATAGCAGAAGAATATTTGAGTAAATTTCTATTACCCACTGATTATTGTACCAGTTCATCCATCCGTTGATTCAACAAATATGTTCTGAGCTCTTGCTATGCTTTAGGCACTGTGTTATTAATATATACACAGTCAGGTATACATTAATGCCTAGATGCAAATGATTCCACTAAAAATAACAATTCTTTCTTGTTATTGTTGCCTAAACTCTCCCTGTGTGGCTAGAGGGAGGAATACTTAAGTGACTAATGAATGGCTGAAGACAGACAAGAACATGCCAACATACCTTTCGTAGCCAGACGAACACAGTTGATTTTGGTCTCCTGTGAACAACAAAAGTAAGGCTCTAGTTAATTAGTTGTGGGTTTGGTTTGCTATATAAAGAAAAATATATATATTTGCATATATATGCATTAATATGTATTTTTAATTATAATTTTAAATTTGTCCTTTCCATTTTCCCCCCATTGGAATCACTTTTTAATTCTGTTTCTTCATTTCTTTTCAGTCTAGGTACACACTTTGTTCCTTTCACTTCCTGGTTCACATCACCTCATAAACTTCTTCCCCAGACAAAACCACTGTATAAACATATCAGATATTGCCCACCAGAGAACAACTTTAACAACAACATTAAGTGGACACATGATGGCATGCTGTGTGCTTTATTTAGCTGCATGGGTTCCTGAGAGAACCCATGGGTTTGTAGATGGAACCAAGGGCATCCTTGGGAAACTTTGTTTTCTATATATATAAAAGCCTAAGTGACCATTACAACAGGATGACTGGCTGGTAGCTGTGAACCTCTATGCAGGAGCTGCCCCCTAGTGGTCAGTGCGCTCTCACAGCCAACCTCCCATGGTCCGCCAACCTCCAGCCAAGCTCCTGAGGTCCTTCCCCCAAGCTGGCTCTAATTGGCCCCAATTGGGACTGGGTGAAATGGCCCCGATCAGCCCCAATCGCTGGCCAGGCCAAGGGACCCCACCCGTGCACAAATTCGTGCACCGGGCCTCTAGTAGGTAAATAATGCATCTATATGCACAGACTGAAACAGACACGTGGCAATAGCCTGCCAATATGAATGTTTAAGATTCAAACTGAGAAGTTCATGTTCAAAAAGTCACTTTGGCCCTGAGATCTCTGGTAGACCGCAGTTTTCATAGATAATGTTGTATGTGTGTATTTATGTGGCAATAGAATCTTTGCAGAGTGAACTATCTAATCATTGTTGGCTGGTCCCCTGTGGACAGGATCCATAAATTTTTGGGGTTGCTGGGCATGAAGTTGAGTTACAGAAGATAATGAGCTTAGCCTATTTTATCAGGATCATCTCCCAGGAAGTCCTGGAACAATCTGAAAATTCCAGTTCACTAAGTTAAGCTCCCAGCAACAGTCTGAATGTAGTGAAGCAATAAAAATAAAAGACAAAGAATGCAATGTGTGTGTCTCAGGAACACAATGTTGCCTTGCTAATGCTTACTCATAGGAACAATTGCATTTTGAAGGCACTTGTGTTAGTTAGGATAGAAAAGGTTATGCAAATATAACAAAACCCATGAACTTCCGTGGCTAGAACCAGCAAAGGCTTATTTTCCACTCAAGTTACATGTCCAATGTAGGTGTGTGGCTGGGTCTGGGAGGGCAGTGTGGTGGTTTTGGGAGATTCTCATCATTGTAATCACTCGGAGACAAAGGCTGAGTGGCACCTGCACTTCAACACAAGGCTTCAGTGTTCACTGAGGCAGGAGAAGAGAAGGCTGAAGAGTCTTGATTTACATACAACACTTTGTATCAGAAACAACACTTTTGTTTTGACTCGGGTTTCCTTGGCTAGAACCAGTCACGTGTCCATGCCTAACTTTAGCGAGGTTACCGGAGTCACCCATGCACTCAGAAACAGAGAAGAAATGATAATGTCTACAGCAGAATCTATTTTATCTATGCACACTTCTGAATGCTAGAAATTGTTACTTCTATTAAACTCAGGTATGACTCCTCAATGGTCTTGATTCTGTTCCCTAAACCAGCGGTCGCCAACCAGTGGTCAGCAAACCACTGGTGGTCCGTGAGGTCCGAAAGGTTGGCGACCGCTGCCCTAAACCATAGACAGTCTGCTCTTGTTTGCATAGGAAAGATGTCTGTATATTGTAAGATGGCTTTCAGTTCATTAACATTCTTGTTCCTCAACAATTTCTCATATGATAAGAGTCTAAAGCCTTTGAATCATCCTAGCCACTCATCCTAGGACATCCTCCAGTTGTCCCTCTTAGTGAGAAAGGACTATAAAAGGAAGCAACAGTCTCCATGTGGTCTTGTCAACATATGATCACCTAGCTAGTGACTTTTTTTTCTATTTTCCTTACTTATACAGGGCTTCTATTAGCATAGCAACATCCTAATCATTGATGACAATAAATTTGCCAACAACCTGCAATTCTTCCTCCCCCTCCCCCAACCAAAATATATCTACCTGTGTCTACATCTACAGATGTGGTTGTATTTCTGAAATTCAAGTACAGTCACACACACTATTACCTTCCATCTTCCTTGACTCATCTGATTACTACAACCTATCACCATATTCTCCACTATCTGCAAGTTTTGGGGCCTAATTTTTCTCGAACTTCATCCAGATAACTAATTAAGTAGGAACCTGTAAAAGGCCAATGGTAGAGCTCTGTGGCATGCACTAGAATACTTCTTCCAGGTTGGCATTCATCTGTTCATCAGTATCGAACTAGTTACTCATCTCCCCAAGTGCTTTGTCACTCAGGTGTTAGTGCTACGTTTTCACACAAAATAACTTGGGAATAGGGTCAAATTTACTTCAGAGTCTGATTCCCTGTCTAATGTATTTCTCTAATCTATCAGCCCAAGAACTCTCTTAAAGAAAGAAGGTTGAATTGACATGACTTGTTCTTTGGAACAAGTGTTTTCTTTCCTCTCTGTTCTTATACTGAAAGTGTTCCTTTTAAAATAAATAATTGTTTTACTTTATAAAATGTAAAATGCAGATTTGTGAAAAGAATATGACACATTATGGTTTTAATATATGAAGTATTCATCTGAGGTGTTCATATGATATTTGAAGTATGCTATATTTCAAGAAAAAAATTTTTAATAAACACATTCAGAATATGGAAAAAAGGGAGAATGACTGATAAAAAGATAGAAATAGAGTAGAACTCTCTACATAGGATGCCAAAAAAGCTTATGTCACAAATGAGTTAAAACTTAAAAATGATGAAAAAGGTGATCAAACTAGTTTTTTTGTTGTTGTTTCCATGCTTGGAGAAAAAGAAAACTTCTTCACATCTTCTTGGCTTCCATTTTTGTTCTTTGGTTAAAAGGTCAGTGAACTGAAGCCTGAGATAGTTAAGCAAAGTACAACTGCAGAGAACTGAAGAAGATCGGCTAATCGTCATGTACCACAATGATCATCACTGAGAAGTTGAGTCTCATGGGGGAGGTGCTAAGAGGCCAGAGATGGTCAGCAGGACCTCCCACTTCATATTAAGACAAAGAAAAAAGATTTTGTAAATACTACATCAGAAAACTTGCCAATTCTGTGCATAACTGTTGAATATAGCTGTGGCAAGGGTTTGATGAGCCAACACTGTTGGGGGGAATTTGTAACTATGTATCTAGACTTTAAAGAGAATCAATTTAATCTCTTTACCTCTAAGAATCTATTCTCAGTGAGTCACCTTCAATGTAGAAGAACCTTTATATTCAAAGATGTTGGTTCTGGTGTTTTTATAAACGTGACAATGAAGAGCACCACATCTATCTAGCCCTACAGACATAATAAAGGAATTTGTGGCCTACCCACACAGTGGAGTATTACCAAGCTGTTAACAAAAATTATTATAGGGCTATGCAATTACATGGGATAGTACACATAAGGAAATTAATGAATAAAGAAAAGTACAATTTTTATGACAACAAGCAGGCAGACATAAGCATTGAAAAATAAGTTCTGAAGGAAATATATTATATCTTAAAAATTGCCGCACAATCAGTTTGAAGTATAACATGTTTGTAGATGGTTATAATGATCTTAAACACAATTGATAAATTCTCATAAATAAATGCACATTGATGGCCAGCAACTAGATCTAGGCCAGCAACTAGATCTAAACACCCAACACTGCCAGCATCTCAGAAGCTTATCCATGCTCTCCTGCGTCACTTTATCCTGCAAAGATGATCACTAATATATATCTTTAAACTTTAAAGATACAGTTTAAAGTGTGTTACATCAAAGGGAATCCTGAGTAGCTGCTATGGTTTATTCTACTTACTACCTTCTCTTCCCCACTAGGTCATTTGAGAGAACTTTCTAATTCTCATTAGCATCATCTTCCTTTCCACAGTTGATGCATGAAATTGGGCCAATTCCCAACACCACCTCCTCTACCACACATCTCTTAAAATCTGTTCTCTGTAATCTTGTCTCATAATCATGTCTGATTATGCTTAACTCTCCCTGGCTCTCACAAACATGACACTGACATGTACTCTTTCTTCCAAGTTCCTGACACTTTTAATTCCATAACCAATTTGTCTTTGTTGGTTAGACACGAGTACAGAATAACAAAGTCCTGAGTCACTCTCTTGACCTTCTGGGTTACTGAACTGTTAGCAAGCAAGTCTGGAACATGCTTGAAGTCTTGTATCCTACTGTATGGGAAGTCTGGCCAGTACGCACATGCCCAAAGTCCCCAATCAGTTCCAGAAATAGGAAATGAGTACTATTTTTTTGTGTGCTTTGATTGAGTAAGGCTTTGGAAAGAGGAGAAACATTTCATATTTTCTGTTCTATCTCCACAGTACAACACAGTTTCATTTCCCCATCATTTTTAAAAATTTATTGTTTCAACAATTAAAAAATATTTTTATTGATTTCAGAGAGAAAGGGAGAGGGAGAGATAGAAACATCAATGATGAAAGAGAATCATTGATTGGTTGCCTCCTTCATGCCCCACACTGGGGGGATCATGCTCATAACCTGGCCATGTGCCCTGGCCAGGAATTGAACCGTAACTTCTTGGTTCATAGGTCAACGCTCAATCACTAAGCCAGGACAGCCAGGCTTCCCCATAATTTTAACCTCACTCATACTGCCTTCCTATGCCAGACTTGCAAATCTGCACACTTACCTTATTTTTTCATAATGTGTCACACCTATACCCCCTTACTTACTCATAACCTCCATTTTGAGACTAGGCCCAGTCTGATCCATCCATCCATCCATCCATCCATCCATCCATCCATCCATCCATCCACACATCTATCTTCTGACTATTTACTGAAATTAGAG